TTTTTTTTTTTTTGCAGTTGTCATGGTTGTTTTAGCTGGCCCAGGCTGGGTTCGAACCTGCTAGGCTTGGTGTATGTGGCGCCGAGCCAGGTGGCTCACACTTATAATCCTAGCACTCTGAGAGGCTGAGGCAGGTGGATTGCTTGAACTCAAGAGTTCAAGACCAGCCTGAGCAAGAGCAAGACCTCATCTCTACTAAAAAATAGAAAAACCACTGGGCATTATGGCGGGTGCCTATAGTCCCAGCTATTGGGGAGGCTGAGGCAAGAAGTTCATTTGAGCTTGAGAGTTGAGATTGCTATGAGCTATGATGATGCCACAGCACGCTACCCAGAATAACAGAGCAAAAATCTGTCTCAAAGAAAAGAAAAGAAAGATCAAGAAATGTTCCAGTCAGACACAACCACATGATCCTGGACTGAATCTTGAGCAGGGGAAAAAGTATGCAGGAGATTGACAAAATTTGAATATGGATTATAGGCTAGCATTCAAATGGTTCAGGCAAAAACAAATATATTTATTAATCTTTGGCAGCACCCGTAGCTCAGGTGGCAGGGTGCCAGCCCCATACACCTAGGGTGGTGGGTTTGAACCCAGCTCCGGCCTGCTAAACAACAATAACAACTGCAACCAAAAAAATAGGCAGTCGTTGTGTGGGCACCTGTAGTTCTCAGGAGGCTTAGGCAAGAGAATCGCTTAAGCCCAAGAATTTTAGGTTGCTGTGAGCTGTGATGCCATGGCACTTTACCCAGGGCAACAGCCTGAGACTCTGTCTCAAAAAAAAAAAAAAATCTTTATGGAAAGAAATAGTTTAAGAATGAATGGAACAAAATGTAAATGATGAATTTGAGCCAAGAGTGTTAGAATAATAAAACAAATGGAGAAAAACGTAAACAGTGGGTGCATTTTGGTATAGAATATAAGGGAGTTTCTCATACTAGTTTTTTTTTTTTTTTTTTTGGCGACAAAGTCTCAAGCTGTCGGCCTGGGTAGAATGCTGTCGCCTCACAGTAACTTCAAACTCTTGGGCTTAAGCGATTCTCTTGCCTCAATCTCCCAAGTACCTGGGACTACAGAGGCCTGCCACAACACCCGTCTATTTTTGTTGTTGTTGCAGTTGTCATTGTTATTTTAGCTGGCCTGGGCCGAGTTTGAACATGCCAGCCTCGTGTATGTGGCCGGTGGCTGGCGCCCTACTTACTGAGCTACAGGGTGCCGCCCCTTATACTAATCTTGAATATTTTCTGTAATTTAACATCATATCCAAGTAAAAAGTTACAAGAAATTGTATATCTCTCCATTTTTATTGTGGTAAAATGCACATAATATAAAATCTACCACTTTGAATTGGATAATTCATTGGTATTTAGCAGATTTGCCATGAGGCACCAACTATCCCCACAACCCAGCTCTAGAACAGAAGAAAACCTCGCAACCATCAGCAGTCATTCACCGTTTCCCTTGCCCAGCTCCTGGAAACCACCAGGGTGTGTTTTGCCCCACGGTTTTGCTTGCGCTGGTCCTGTGGGTCCAGCTCCCTTCGCTGAGCATGAAAACGACCTTCCATTCCCTGTCACAGGTGAATCCTCCCCTACCGTAGGACAGACCACACGGCGTTTACCCAGCCATCCGCTGATGCACACTGTGTTTGTCAACCTAAACTAATCAAAAGGGTCGGAGTCTAGTTTAAAGAGAGTTTGTTCAAGCGCAGATGTTGAGAGTAGGTCCCCCAGAAAGCAGATGACAAGCATGGGAGATTGCCTGGCCATCTTTCGCTACCAGGGAAGGCTATTCAATATTCCACAGGGCCTGGGGCGCCATCTGGTCTGAGTTAGGAACAGGACAGTAAGGGAGGCCATTAGCCCACAGCAAAAATCAGTTTTGGGGGCTCCTGGCACCAGAACAGCGAGAAAGGTTAAGCTACAATCTAACGAGCAGAACTGCAAATCTGCTTTTCGACTCATTCTCCAGGGCTTAAGTCGCCCGCCCTTGGCAAAATACATTTAGAGGGCTTAGTATCTTTATTTTCTTTTACAAGCTGCATCCAGGTTCTATTTTCTTTCTCCCATCGCAACTATGTCCAATTGGCAACACTCGAGAACCCCCGCAAACTTAGAAGGCGGCTGCACCCTGCTGGAGCGCGGCCAGAAGTAGACTTCCGTAGCGTCAGCGGAACCGAGGGGCGCTGCCGGCGGCGCCCGGAGCCAGCACAGCTTCCGGAAGTACCTTTGCGTCCCCTGACCCGGAAGCGCTAGTGGCCTCTGCTTCCGCGCTGGTTAGCATGGCGGCCGCATGGTTTGTGCGTTGTTGAGAATCCGAGACGCGGCCCGTGCGTCATGGTCTTCCTTACAGCGCAGCTGTGGCTGCGGAACCGCCTCACCGACCGCTACTGGCGGATCCAGGACGTGTTAAAGCACGCCCGGGTGAGTGCCGCCCGCCCGTGCGCGGCTTGTGTTTGGGGCGCAGCTAGCGGGCCCCGCCGACACACTCATTTCCCCTTTTTTAACCCAGCATTTCCGAGGGAGGAAGAACCGCTGCTACAGGTTGGCGATCAGAGCTGTGACTAGAGCCTTTGTGAAATGCACCAAAGCTCGAAGTCTGAAGAAAAGGACCATGAGGACAGTAAGCGGTGGACCCCGGCGCCCGGCGCCCGCAGGCACCGTCGGGTTGTCGGACCCTAGCGGCGCTAGCACTGCAGAGGGACACCCCCGGTTTCCGCGACTCCGGCTAGAAACCTCCCCATCCCTAGGGTCTTTTCAGACCTAGTAGGTCCGAAACCAGGTCGCGGGGCCCGCGGTCCTTCCCATCTCAGCGGATGGCTTCCTCCATCCTTCCCTGGGCCAGAGTCAGAAACCTCACACCGTCCTTAGCTCCTTGGTTTCACACACCACATTCAAAACTCCGGCAAATTCTGTCTGCCTTGCACACCGAAAGTGGGATACCCATCTGACCTTTGCTGCCATCCTTATCCCAGACCGCAGTGGCTCGTCCGGGCCACTGCAAGGGCCGCCTTGTCATTCTCCCTGCGTGGTCACCCACTGCTCTACTTCCTACTCTTCATATCTTCCTTCTGCTTAAAATCCTCTGAGGCTTCCTATCCCCGTGGTGACAAAAGTCAAACCAAAACCGTAGAAACTTGATTACTCTGAGCACTCCTCCCAGACCCACCCACACCAGCGCCTCTCTTGGCTTCTGAGTTGCTCCTTGAAGAGACCAGGCGGGCTCCCTTATAAGCTCTTTGCTCTTGTGGGTTTATCCACCTGGAAACCCTTGGGCTTTCGATATCGCTTGCCCCTCTCTATGTCTGTCATCTTCTCAGATGGGCACATCTCATCCGTGCCCTACTCCTTTGAACTTAGAGTCTAACATAACACTGTAGCTTACTTATTTATTTTTGAGACAGAATCTCAAGCTGTCACCCTGGGTAGAGTGCCGTGGAGTCACAGCTTACAGCAACCTCAAAAACTTGGGCTTAAGCGATTCTCTTGCCTCAGCCTCTTAAGTAGCTGGGATATAGGCACTGAGCCATTACTTGGTTGTTTAGTTGTGTATTGCTGGTTGCCCCACCCCACCCCCCAGTGTAAGCTTCAGCAAAGATCTTTCTATTCTATTGAGTGTTGTAAGGCAGTGTATGGGTCAGTAACACTTTGTAAATACTGATTGAATAAATAAAGGAAGGGATGGTAAGAAGCTCATTCTGAAAGTCAATGAGGTGCAGCTAGGTGTGGTGGCTCCTGCCTGTAGTCCTAGGTACTTAGAGTAAGCTGAGATTGTGCCACTATACTGCAGTATGGGTGACAGAGTGAGACACTGTCTCTAAAAAAAAAAAAGAAAAAAAGAAACCTCAGAGGAGATCCATTCTGAGACTTTCATAGTACCATATCCCAGCATCACTTTGACTCCCCCTTCCCATTTTTTCCATGCCTCACTTGCTTCTGTGTTCAGGTGTTTGCAGGCTTGGAACAGACTTGTCCTTCACAGCTGTGCTTTGTCTGCCACAGAATCTCTTGCTAATTTTTATATTCTTGGTCCCTAAAAATGTGTGTTAAAATTCATGCTTTACAGCATGTCATCAAGTAAAAATGAAACTTGTAGCTGGTTGCAGTGGCTTGTGCCTCACACCTGTAATCCTAGCAAACTGGGAGTCCGGGGGGTGGGGTGGGGTGGTGGATCACTTGAGCTCAGGAGTTCAAGACCAGCCTAAGCAAGAGTGAGACCCCATCTTTACTAAAAATGAAAAACTGAGGCAAGAGGATCGCCTGAGCTCTAGAGTTTGAGATTGTACTCTATCCAGAGTGACAGAGTGAGACTCTGTCTCAATAAAAAGAAACTTGTGTTTAGATGAATATCATCTTTTTGTTTACTGTTACCATTTGTACTGCAAGCCTGTTTACCTAAGTAGAAAACGCTAAGTTTTCTTTCCTTTTTTTTTTAAAACGCTAAGTTTTCTTTCCTTTTTTTTTGAGACAGAGTCTCTGTCAGTTGCCCTGGGTACAGTGTAGTGGTGTCCTAGTTCATAGCAACCTTAAACTTTTGGGTTCAAGTGGATTCTCTTGCCTTAGTCTCCAGAGTACGTTGGACTACGGGTGCTTACCACCATGCCCGGCTGTTTTTTTTTTTTTTTTAAAGAGAGAGTCTCACTCTTGCTCAGGCTGGTCTCAAACTCCAGAGCTCAAGGGATCCTCCTACTTCAGCCTCCCAGAGTACTAGGATTACAAGTATGAGCTATTGCACCCAGCCCAGAAGTTGCTCTTAAGCATCTCAATGTTTTCTTATTTCAGCTCTGGATTAATCGAATTACAGCTGCTTCCCAGGAACACGGACTGAAGTATCCAGCATTTATTGGCAACTTAATTAAGGTATGGTTGAGGATTGCTTCCTGTGAGATGCTGAAGATCTGCAGAAACTATTGAATCAGGCATGATCCAGCCTGCAGTGCCCCATGCAGCACAGGCCAGGGGAGCTGCTGGGCTGTACCTAGTGCTGCTTTCTGTCCTTTGGGTGTGGTTCTAGCAAGTCAGAGGCTCCACACTTGCTTCTTCCTTGCCCTGCTGGTGGCAAAGTTGTAGTTGGAAGCAGGGAATGTATTCAGATGTGCACGTGGATGTCTTCCCAGTAAGGAAAAAAGGCAGAAAAACTTAGCTTTAACTTTAAAGTTTATTTTTAAAGTTTTAATAGTGGTCAGTTGTTTTTTTTTTTTTTTTTTTTT